TGAACAGCGCATGCTCCAGATACTGAACACGGTCTTGGCAACCCATGTGAACATCCCCTCCCGTCCAGGGATGGCCTGCTGGCCTTCAGCAAGGTGACTCCTCCATGTGGTTTGCAAGCACTACCTGCAGGGGCTGACCTTTAAAATTAGTGATGAAATATGTGGCCCTTGAAGAGTGGAACCTTCTCCCTTCAGAATGACATTACATGACATTTTTCCAAGGGAGTGGCTTAACTGTCTTTTCCCGCAGCATGCAAGTTGCTGATACTTGTTGCTCTCTTGACAGGCTGCTGATACGCTTGCTGTGAGGCAGAAGAGACGGATCTATGATATCACCAATGTTTTGGAGGGGATTGATCTCATTGAGAAGAAGTCAAAAAACAGCATTCAGTGGAAGTAAGCCATGTCAATTCTGCAAAATTTTCACATGCTTTGGAGTAACAAAAATTGCCTCTTTCCACTTCTGACTAGATATGACACCACAAATGCTCATTCCCTTCATATTGAGTATTAGTAGATTTAAAAAATATTGAAAATAGTCTTAAGAAATTATCATTGTGTGTTTGCTTTAGACTTTCACTTGTGGTTTCATGAACCATTTTACCTTTTTAAGAGGAGTAGGTGCTGGCTGCAATACAAAAGAAGTCATAGACAGGCTGAGGTATCTGGAAGCTGAAATTGAAGATCTAGAGCTAAAAGAGAAAGAATTGGATCAGCAGAAACTGTGGCTTCAGCAAAGTATCAAGAACGTCATGGATGATTCTACAAACCACCAATATCCTTTTAAATTAATCGTGTGCCTCTTGGAAATAGAATCAAAGCAACAGCTAAGGTGTAGGTAATGGATAAAGCATAATTTAGTCCCTTTTATCCAGAAACAGGGTAAAGCAAATATTTTTTTGAAGTTTTTCCCAGAGAAAGAAGATATAAATTTTATTTACATGGCTTTTTAACTTCTGTGACTGTGAATGGTAACATGAAAATAAGTTAGCATATTAATTTTTAAGTCTATAGTATAATCCGGGTGTCTTACTTTAAATGAATTATATTTCCCCCATTCATTTAAGAATTGGACTCAATGATCCTTGAGAGTCCCTTCCAACTTAGAATATTCTGTGGTAGTCTATACTGCTTTCCAGCACTTGAATTTATACCTTGTTACCACTGCTTTACATGAATCTGTTTTGTGTTGCTTTGTTCTCTTGCAAAGATTAAGCTATCACCCAAAGATAAATTGAGTTACAATGTCCTGAAACTTGGGTTTGACACTGGAATAAAAAAAATCCTGTGTTTAAATAACCCATGAGCAGAGAGTTCCAGCTGCATTGCTCATAAGCATGTGCTTAGGTATCTTGCAAGATACTGAGCAAAACAGACACCTGAGACTGGGAGCAAGAAAGTGCCCTTCTTATCTATAGCACCAGTGATAAGTACTTAAACATGACTGGAGTTGCTGTACGGAAACTGGTTGTGTAAAATGCATTTTGTAGTAAAGGAGATTGAGGTTGAATGTTAGGAGAAGCTTTCCTTTGGGAGAGCTAGCACTGGAATTGACCTCCCAGGGAGGTGGTGAATTACCCATCAGTGGAGGTTTTCCAGATGAGGGGAGGCAGACATCTGTCTGGAATGTCTGAACAGTGGATTCTACCTTGAGGCAGAGGAATGGGATGGGAGATGAAATCTGAAGTTCCCTCTAGCAGTCATTTTATGTGATTATGGGAAGTCGTGATACATACTTGAATTCTGTAGTGTCAGTGAGATAAATGGTATTCTTCAAAACAAGACTTTACATGTTCTCCCTGTTAGAATCTCTTCTCAAGCAAGCTACACAACTTTTTTTTCTTTTTGTATTTTCTTTGCAAGTACAGGTTTTTTCTTTAAAACTATTTTTAACTATCCATTCTGAAAGACAAAAATTATGCTTTGATTACACCTCTGAGTAACAATAGTAACTTTATAATTTAGACTCAGTTTGGACAAACTACTTTTAAAGGGCAACACATACCAGTTTTATGTTGCTTTAAGAAAAATGTTCCTTAACATACATTACATTTTCATATGTCACCCATGAAGATATCTGCAACTGCTTCAATGGTAAGTGGCTGCTGCTAGGCTGTATTTCTAAAGCAAGGGATTTCCTGATCTTCCTCTTGAAAAATGACTTGCTTTTCCTTGCAAGTATTTTGAATTTAGAAGTACTCAGTAGTGATGTCTTATAATGTTCATGACTACCAAGTTCCAGCATTTTCTAGTTGTAGTTACAGATTGTACAGAATGGAAGCTCAGCTGGAGTCCTGGTTTTGGATGCCTTTTTTGGTACTCATACTTTGCAGCAGCTTGCCTCAGTCCATTAATGGAACCACAGACAGGACATGTGGGTCCAACCCACCAAATGAACCAGGCAGATCCAAATTTCATATAGTTTTTCTGATGGCAGTTGTGGTCAGAGTTCCTGATGATGCTGTATAAATAGAGCCAGACAAAGTTAAATGATGGGGCTGCTAAATCAAAAGGATTCCTGTACAGGTTTGAAGAAACTGCCAAGAATTGCTGGCAGAGGTTACTACCCTTGACATCCTTTCCCAATCCCAGGGCACCCAAGGGAAGATTGTTGTTCAGACTCTAGCTAGGTTTGGAACCATCTCTTCTTTGCCACAAGAAAGATTGTTTTTTACTAAAAATACAAGATTAGAAAATTACTGCAGAGTTTAACAAAAATGAACTGTAACCAAAAAGAATTAGCCATTACAAAACATGGAGGCACCTGGCATGGCACTCTGATGGTACTTCACCTAAGTGTCTTTTAGGAGGCAGAGAAAGAAAAGTGTTACTCCGAATCAGTTATGGACAAAGGGGAAATGCAAGTGACCTGCAGTGTTGTGGAAGTAATTGTGATCCCCTGACTTTAACCAACACATTTCATTGTGCATAGTAAGCCACAGGTGAGTTTGACAGCCAGCTCTTAATGTCCCAGTTGTATGTGCTGTGGAAGCCATGAGCTTAGATACTTGGAAGTGCTGGCTCTGAGGATGATCATTAATACCTTTTCTTCTTCTGTTAAATCTTTGTAGTACCACCATTTGTCAAAGTCATAAAGTGAGCTAGACCACAGAACTGAATTAGCTGAAGTAAGTCATATGAGGAGCAGCTGAGGGAGCTGGGCTTCAGCCTGGAGAAAAGGAGGCTCAGGGGAGATCTTCTCACTCCATACAACTACCTGAAAGGGGAGGGTTGGCCTTTTCTCCAGGCAACAAGAGATAGGATGAGAGGACATAGCCTCAAGCTGTTTTAGGGGAGGTTCAGGTTGGACATAAGGAAGAATGTCCTCATAGTAGGGTTGTTAAGCATTGGAATAGAATGCCCAGGGATGGTGGAGTCACCATCCGTGGAAGTGTTCAGAAAATGACTGGACATGGCACTTTGTCTAGTTGACAAGAGGGTGATCAGTCGCAGGTTGGACTTGATCTTGGAGGTCTTTTCCAACCTAAATGATTCTTTGATACTGCAAAAAAATTAATTAAATCTTTTCACCTTATGTTACATATAAAACTAGAAGACAAACAGGTAAAGGAAATGGTAAATCTTATACTACTGTGAGGAAAGGTTCTTGCAACTATGACCTAAGTATTGGAATTCTGTGATTTATATGATGCAATATACTTGGATCTTACAGGTACTATGCAAGTCTTACCACAAGTTTTTATATGCTGAATTATGGAGTATTTTAAGTGGTCTTAGAGTATTACTGTATCGCATTTGAGTGGGTACCATGCAAGAGTTAAGAAAACTATGCACACTTTACACTTTTTTAAAAATTGCTTTTTAACCAGGAGATACACTCCTAGCAATTCAAGCACCTTGTGGTACACAGTTAGAAGTACCTACACCCGAAATGGTATGTACTGGTTTCTTGTATACCTAAGTGTTCTAGGTGAATAGTGGAAAAGAAGAATTATCTTAGAGTGGAGGATTTATCTCTGTCCGTGTGCAAGAGGAGACGGGCAAATGTTTAGGATTGTTTCAGTTGAGAAGGGGGAGGCCGGATGGGAAAAAGTGGGTTTTGTTCACCTATATGGTAACTGTCTTCTATTAAAACCAAGATACATTAGTGTGTTTTTTTACAATTTCTTCTTTTTTTTAAATGTTGCAGCTTTCCAAATTGTGCATAATTTTAATGAATTCCCTTGAGAACTCATTGATAGAGGCTTTTATCTGTCAAGTTTCTCCATTACACTGTTAAAAAGGATCCTTTACAAAAAAGCCTTTTAGATTTAGTCTCATGGTAGTAGATTGGATAGAGAAACAGACTGCAGTCTCACTTTAGCCAAAAGGCTTAAATGGGTAAGATTAAAGTAGGAGGCCAAATTATTTACCTCTGTCCATCTTTATTTTTTTTTGTTGTTGCAGTGCTCGGTTTTAAATAGTGTTTACACAGTTGGGAGAGAGTATTGTATGAAGCATGATAGCCAGCCAATGTGCTTGTAGAAGGCTGAAATTCACCTGAGAAGTTTCACAAGCTATTTTTAGTGAAGCTAAGCACAGTCTAATATCTTAAAAGCATCCAAAGCTAGGGCCATGAAGCTGATCAGTGGTACTATCTTTGTCCGTATCTGCCGAAATCATTTCAGGCAATGGTAAGGTTCTCTGCAGGACCCAAGTTAGCAGATGTGATGTTGGGCTTCTTTTTTTTTTTTTTTTTTTGTCGAGGACCAAAACAGCTGAACTTAGTCTTCATTACCTTGTACAGTGCTGAGTTCTCAAGGAACAGTAACTTTCATAATACACCACCTTTACAGGGACAGAATGGACAGAAGAAATACCAGATCAATCTTAAAAGTAGTTCAGGACCTATCCATGTGCTGCTTATAAATAAAGAATCAAGCTCCTCCAAGCCCACAGTGTTTCCAGTTCCTCCGCCCGATGACCTTGCACAGCCCTCGTCTCAACCTGCAGCCCCAGCGACTCCACTTAAACCCACTACAGCTCCCCCAAATCCACCAGAACATGACCTGAACCAAGGACAAGAGTTACCACAGACACCAGCTGCAGACACACCATCAGGTGGATCCAGGGGTTTTCCTACCTCCAACAGGGGCAAGGGGGGTAAGAAGGCAGCTAGAGGGAAAGAAGAAACTGTTAGGAAAGGTGGTAGACAGAGAGCTCAAGAATTTGCACAGCATAGCAGCTGTCTTTTTGACAGACTTCTCCAATGGCTCACTAACAGCTCTGAGGAGGTTACAGAGACACCTCCTCTCTGTCCAGTGAAACAGATTCTTCCCTCATAGCTTATCATGTTATACTTAACAGGTTTTGGATGTAATCCTGTTAATTATTCTGAGGTGCTTCTCCAGAATGCAGTAAGGAGCAAAATTGCGAACCTATGATGGAGGATATTATTTGAAACATGTACCTTTTAATGAGACTCGTAATACAGGCATCAGTTCCAGCTTTTGTGCCACAGTGTCACTTCCTCCACACAGAGAGACTGCCTGAATATGGGATTTTTTTTTCATAGTAATAGTATGGTAGTTGGGAAAGATGTAAGAAAACACTGTAGGTGTTAGAACTGCATTTCTAAAGAGTCCTGACTAACCTTTATTTATTAACCATTAATTAACAATTAATTAAATTGTGCCTATGACTATCAAAGGGGGAAACTCCTCTTACCTGATACCAGACACTGGCCATGTTCTCAAAAGACAAAACTGGGTTCAGGTGCTTTGTGTTCCTTGTCTCCATAACACGTCTTTGTGTCCGTAGATGGCAGCGTGCAGCGGGACAGCGCAGCCCCCGCAGCCCCCTACTCCAGCCTTCCGGAGCTGGCGCTGTACCCCGGCCTTCCAGGAGATGGTGCCCAAGCCTCAACCATCTCCAGTGACTACCAGGGCTTGCTGCCTCTGGATGTCAACTGTATTCTCAAGCCAAACTCATTTGACATTGCAAAGATGGAGGAGCCCACAGGTAGGGAGCAGTAGTTCCTGTTTAAATGTTTATACTTGTTTCCTGAGCCCTTTTTTGTGACCAAGTTACCAATGAATTACAAAGGAAATGACAGGCCTCTGTTTATTTCCTAGAGAAGCCACTGAGCCAGCTCTCAGTAGCAAACTCATTCTGAGCAAATGAGTTTCTCTGCCACCAAATAAGCTTCATGTTGTGTATGGCTCTAGGGTTATATGAGATCAGTGGAAGAAATATAGTGGAGGGGGAGATCTGAGGAATACAAAAATAAATATATTTTACATGTACATGGCATGCTATCTCTGCAGCTCCTACACTGCATGAGCCACACTGTTCTTTGCAGTTCAGTATTTTAATGCAGATAATATATGTTGACTTCTATAAACACGTACTAAAAAAACCCTACATATACAAAACGTGCTCCTGTCTTTCACAGGAAATATCAGTGGGGATATTATTGATGAACTCATGTCTTCTGACGGTAAGTATTTAGCATTTTTTCTAATAAACACAAGTAGTAGCATGGATTTTGTGTGAACAGTACTTAGGAGGCATCTGTTAAATCTGATGACAAGAGTCATAGAATCATAGAATCAGATGGGTTGGAAAGGACCTCCGAGATCATCAAGTCTAACCTTGATCCACTACCACCACAGTTACTAGACTATGGCACTAAGTGCCACATCTAGTCTCTTCTCAAATACCTCCAGGGATGGAGAATCTACCACCTCCCTGGGCAGCCCATTCCAATGACTGATTAATGACTGAGTCAGTATGAAACTACTTCTCTCCCTTGTATTGCTGCCTCTGTCATTCTTGTCTTTGCTCCCCTTTCTATTCCCTGCAACAGTTTAACCATCAAAATATGAGCACCTTAATCCAACAAGCACTTACATGCATGAATAACCCACCAGTCCTTAATTCAGGGACAAAGAAAGAACAGGCTGATGACTAGTGTGCTGCCTTTAAAAAAAAAACTTTAAAAAAATCGGGTTTAATTCTGTTCTGCCTCAGGCTTCCTGCAGGTGCTTTAAATAAATATTTCAGAACATAGTTACATGCCTGTGTGCAAACTGATACATGGCCAGCTGTGGTATACTAATAAAACAAACGTTACCTATTTTTGCTGTTGCACCTCAGTGGCCATAAGAGTGCAGCACTGAACCACAGCTCTAAAGTTCATGTGCTCCTGCCTCTCTGCTTGGTCTCTCTGAAGCGCCGGGCAAAGAGGTGAGCTCAGCTGGTGTTGTTCCTTTTGCCCTGTGCTCTATAAGCAGCCTGTGCTAATATCTGCCCTCCAAGCAGACAACCTCGGGCTCCTGCAGAAAGAGACGTGTAATATGAGGTACAAGATGGGATTCTGTGTATGTGCCAATGTATGGTCAAAATGGAAAGTCTCCACTTCTAGGGCAGGTGCAGCATGCCCAGCTCATCTGCACTATGTTAGAGTTCCTGTGGTGCCGCATGAGGGCTGAGGCTTCTCTTCTTGCATTCCCCCCACAAAGACAGCTTCAAGTCCATGCTTGAAATTCAGTGCACTAACTGCTAGCCTTCATTTCCCCTCTGTAAAATAGGGATAACAGTAACCTCCTTATCCTATTTGAAGGCAGATATATGCAATATTGTAACAAGAAAAAGGAATAAAATATAAATTATGGCTTTCTCATGAAAGTTTTCAAAAGCTGCTCAGGAGCTCCTTTGCTGCAGGAGAAATTAAACCCATGTTCCACAGCTGTCGCTCCATTCCAGCAAACTCAGTTAAAATACCAAGCAAAAAATGGTAGATAGGTCCCATACTGCCTTAGTTTGAATGCAGTACAGATATTCATGGTATGTATCCTAGCGTGCTTTTCAGATTATCATGACTATTTTAATTATTAAGACTAACCTTGATACTGGTGATGACAAACATACTGAATTATGAGATAGGGCTGATATTCCAGAAGTGTTTTAATTTAAACTAAACTATTCCTGCTTTACAGTTTTTCCTCTCTTACGACTCTCTCCTACTCCCGGAGATGACTACAACTTTAACCTGGATGATAATGAAGGAGTCTGTGATCTCTTTGATGTGCAGATACTAAATTATTAGATATTGTGTCAACCAGACTACTTATCTACCTCTAACTATAACATTCTAGACTTCTTCATAACCTAAGTATTTGAATAATGAATGTATAACTTCTTAGTTCACTGACTCTGGGAGTATATTTCCTTTTGCTTCCTTTAACTACTTCACAAAACAAATTCAAGAACAAGAAAAAAGGGCTTTTATCAAAAATTCTGGCACTTTTTCACCCAAGTGTTCTCCGTGTAATCCAATTATTTGGAGCTTTCTTTAGTAAAAAAGGCAAAAATACATTATAGCCTTTGATCATTTTCTAAAAAATGATTAGGCTTTTTGCTCACAGTTAACAGCGTTTTCTTTGAAGCTTTACTGCCAAGAAGCTTTCTATATTCTTTTCTAACCTTTCAAACAATTTGAAGCTTTCACTGCCAAGTTGAAAAGTGAAGGGTATCAACTTGAGTTATGCTAAATTGTTTCAGTGAACCAATTTTGTGAAGTGCCTTCTGTTTTAGCACTTTAAGTTTCTCACACTGACTTCTGACATTCCACTTTCCTAGATGATAGGAAAGGTCTGTTTGTAGTTTGTATTAAAGTGTGCCAATACTTGTATATTAACAAGATTTTTTTTAATAAAATTCTTCAAACAAACCCATCAGTATTTGTGATCTTTCATTTCTTACAATCCCTTCATTGTCCATTTTGCATTACAACTGAGATAATAGGTTTGCAGCAGCATCCACATTTGCTGGTTCCTCTTCCAGATTTGTGGAAACCTGAAAAACAAAGTTTCAGTTTAAAGTAGAAAGCAATTCCTTTTTACTCTGCTTGAAAAAAACCCATTGTCTACAAGGTTAGTTTGTCTTTTATATCTTTACTTGGGCTAATTTTGCAGTCATACTTCAGTAATTTGGGGGATTACAGGATTCACTAAACTTGACAGATAAGCTGACAATGCTTTATGTTGCAGGAGAAATGCAAGGTGTCATGCCAGTAACAACATACATGGCCAGGCTGAGACAGGCTCAGCTTTTAGTTCAGAACTGCTCTCGACATTTTTACAACTCTGGAGAAAATACCATTACAGCCTGAGTCATCAAATTAGGCATTGTCATGTACAGCTCTACTACCACAGGAGCAGCGATAAAGTCTGAATTCTTGGAGGAATAAATAGCAAGCCAGAAGGGACAGGACTACTGGCACCAACTGCCTCGAAATCCTTGCTCAGCCTCATCCTATACTGACAGCACTGCCACTTATGTTTCATTTTTCCCTCAGCCTCTCCTTAAGGTATTTGACACTTGTTTTGTCACTCACAGCCATACAGAAATTTGATCACCTCAAGCACAGAAGTAATACTGAACTCATGTCCACATCTCCAAACAGCTCCTTCTTCCAATATCCAGGATGGATTCATCTGTGCCTCATCCTGGCCTGCTGCCTTCTCTCTCCCCAAAACTGCCCAGAGCATCAGAACGAGTCAGCATAAAAAGTTTATATGGAAGACCTTGTCAGGAATTAAACTCTGTAAATTAATTCTTGTGTAAGACTGCATGTAGCCCTGTATAAAAAACTAAACAAAGGAAGGCAAGTGAAACCCTGTCTTGAACCCTAAGCACTCCAGGCAAAACCTCTAATACAGAAATTGCTGTCTTAGGCGTTGTTACTTCTGATGAGGGAATATGAAGGCTCAGGAATCAGGAACAGAGAGAGTCAGAGTTGTTTATTTCAAAGCACTGTCAGGTGCTTCAGGTAGGGAACATCCAGGTTCATCCTCTCAGTATCTATTTATAGGGAGACATAAGTCTCAAATCAAGGAGCTGGGACTAACTTTAAAGAAATAATTAAAAACCAGCTGGAATAATTTAAAAATATGTTTTGGAAGCGTGCTTCAGCTTGGCTGCCCACCCTCTTCACTCTCTACTTTAGCAGTTATATAGCATTTGAACATGCTAACCAGGTTTCAGCATTACCACACAAATGAAATTAATAAAACTGGGTTTATAGCTTTAAAGCAATTGCATGAATTGCCTCCAGTCTTAGAGCCAGAATATAATGTTTAAACACACACATTCCTTTCAGTATCCTCCTCAGATTTTTAAAAAGGTAAATTACCTGATGAGTCTTCTGAGGTTCTGCTGTGGTGCCCTTCGATAGCTGCTGCACTTCTTTCTGAACTTCAGCAAATGCTTTATTTATTGCACTAACTTTTTCAGCATTTTTAATGTTTATCTGGGAGGGAAAAAAATATACACATTGGTATTTTTAACAAAAATTCCACCGACACGTGAAATTGTACCATTTTTGCGCAAGTATTATGCATCCAGTATTATATTTCTGTCTTCCAATACTGCTCTTCAGTATATGTATCTGTTACTTAATTAGGCCACCTAGTCCTGTACTAATAAATTTAAAATGGAGAAAGTAATTAAACTTACTCTATTGGAATAGGAGCCCACAATGATCCAGAAATAATACAGAGCAAACAAAAGTCAGGCTGTGCACAGGCCCTGCTATATTATATATAAATTGTCTCTGCTGCTCTTTCTTCCTCAGTGCGAGGACTCCTCATGCTCTGCCCCTGGTCCAATGTGAGGTCCCTCCTATAGGGGACAGTCCTCCATGCTCTTGTCCAGTGTGAGTCCTTCCCACAAGCTGCTGTTCTTCACAAACTGCTCCACCATGGGTCCCCTGTGGAGTTCCAGGTCCTGCCAGGAGCCTGCTCCAGCACAGACTTCCCAC